AAAAAAAAATGCTTTTGTGTCCTAAAAGATAATAAGCAACTTATAAAGTATGTCTTTTGTATCCTAAAACTGTTTTTCAAATCCTTTAGTGCATCATGAACTCAATTTAGTGGATCATAATCGCCATTAAAGTGTGTGTTTGTATGTATAAATATATATACTATATATATAAATAGATTAGATGTGGTGTAATCCTAGCACTTTGGGAGGCTGAGGCAGGAAGATGGCTTGAGCCCAGGAGTTTGAGGTTGCAGTGAGCTATGAAGACACTACTACACTCCTGCCTGGGCAACATAGTCAGACCCTCGCTCAACATAAACAAACCCCCAATTACAGTTGTCCTTCAGTATGCATGGGGGATTGGCTACAGGGCTCCCATACCAAAATCCTTGTATACTCAAGTCTTGCAGTTGGCCCTCTTTATACTCAGGTTTCACAATTCTAAGAAGTGTATAAGTGGACCCACGCAGTTCAAACCCATGTTGTTCAAAGGTTAACCATTCATATACACAACATACACACATGAAACTTATAAATGTGAAAATTTCACTTGCCTTGTGAAAATTCATGGTACGCAATAAGGGTGAATTTTATTTACGAAACTTCTAGGTTGCAGCTAAAATATTTAGAAAGTCTCCTCCTAAAATACTTAGGGAAATACATTAAAATCTCAATTAAATAGAGGTCAGCTGTCCAGGAAAAAACCTTGGTGGCTTAGATTATAGCCTCCAAATCAGAAATTTAACTCAAAGAAGACATTTGAGTTATAAAAGTATACATCCATTACAGATGAACACACCTCATTCTCTCCCTCAGGATCCATTCAATCTTATTTTACTTATGTTTGAGTGGCTTATATCTGTAATCTAAGCATTGGGAGGCCAAGGCAGGTGTATGCCTGAGCTCAAGAGTTTGAAACTAGCCTGAGCAAGAGCGAGATCCCATCTCCCAAAAAATAGAAAAACTGGAAAAATTTTGTTAAAATTTTTGTTTTCCAAGGGATGAGGTTTCACTATGTTGTTCAGGCTAGACTCAAACTCCTGGCCTCCAGCAATTCTCCCACCCCTGCCTCCCTGGAACTACATGTGCACACCACTATCCCTGGCCTGTTTAATCTGATCCTAGATAATTACTAAATGTGGCTGTTTTCTTTCCTGATCAATAACAAATTAGAGTAAATAGAAGTAAGAAGAATTGTGAGGATAGACACTAATGATAATAGGAAAGAAGAATTAGCCATCTGAGAATGGCTATGAAATTTCCTTCTACTGTGAAAGAAATCCCAAGATACTGGTGCCAGGTAGATGGGGCAAGCAGGTGCCAACACATTAATGTCCCTAAGGGTATAGTTTTGAGGCTGTAAAGACTGAGGAAAGTACTGAACCCTTGGGCGTCAAGAAAGCTGGGTTTCAGTTTTGTCATAACCAACAGTATAGTGTGGGCCAAGTTGCTTAACCTCTCCTTCTGTCCAAGTTTCCTAATCTGTAAAATGAGATAGATGTTCTCAGATTTCGTTTCCCTTAGCTGGGTGTTGTGGCAGGCACCTGTATTCCCAGCTACTGGGGAGGCTGTGGCAAGAGGATCACCTGAGCCCAAAAGTTTGAGGTTGCTGTGAGCTGTGACGCTACAGCACTCTACTGAGGGTGACAAAGTGAGACTCTGTCTCAATTAAAAAAAAAAAAGTTTCTTTCCCTTCAGTAATTTTCTCATTTCTATGAATTTACAGATGAGACTGGTTTGTGATCTACATTGTAGATAGGTCAGTTAGAACAAACAGGGTAGTTGGGTTGTTAACTTTTTAAAGAATAAATGAGAAATTTAAAATACCACTACTTTGTGTTTCTAAGTTTCTGTATGGTCTATTTTATTATAACTAGATAAATATATTCCTGAAGATATCTGTAGAATTTGGTTACTTATACTTGGCTTTATTTCTACAGGGATGTGAGACCACCATTTAAGACATTTTTCCCTTTTATCTTTTAAATCTTTTCATTTCTTCACTTGAGTTTTATATTTTTCACTTTTTATATATTCTAGGTGGCTATCCAAATCCCAACCCAGTCCAGGTTTCAACAGCAACATTTTTTCTTCTCTTCAACAAAGAGTAGAGAATGGAGACCAGCTGTATCAGTACTGTTCATTAATAATAAAAGGTATATCTCTCAAGCAACAACTTCAGTGGGATCCCAGCAGTCACAGTTTGCAAGGGTTTATGGACTTTGGTCTTGGAAAACTTGATGCTGATGAAACACCACTTGCCTCAGAAACTATTTTATTAATGGCAGTGGGTATTTTTGGTCATTGGAGCACACCTCTTGGTTATTTTTTTGTAAACAGAGCATCTGGGTATTTGCAAGCTCAGCTGCTTCGTCTGACTATTGGCAAACTAAGTGACATAGGGATCACAGTTCTGGCTGTTACATCTGATGCCACAGCTTACAGTGTTCAAATGGCAAAAGCATTGGGGATACATATTGATGGAGACAACATGAAGTGTACCTTTCAACATCCTTCATCTTCTAGTCAGCAGATTGCATACTTCTTTGATTCTTGCCACTTGCTGAGATTAATAAGAAATGCATTTCAGAATTTTCAAAGCATTCATTTTGTTAACGGCACAGCACATTGGCAGCACCTTGTGGAGTTAGTAGCACTAGAGGAACAGCAATTATCAAATATGGAAAGAATCCCAAGTAAACTTGCAAATTTGAAAAATCATGTACTGAAAATGAATTGTGCTGCCCAACTCTTCAGTGAGAGCGTAGCTAGTGCATTAGAATATTTACGGTCGTTAGGCTTGCCTTCTTTTCAAAACTCTATTGGTACCATCCATTTTTTACGCTTAATTAACAATCTCTTTGACATATTTAATAGTAGGAATTATTATGGAAAGGGACTTAAAGGGCCTCTATTGCCTGAAACTTATGGTAAAATATGTCACGTGTTAATTGAAGCCAAGACTATTTTTGTTACATTATCTGACACTAGCAGTAATCAAATCATTAAAGGTAAGCAAAAACTAGGATTTCTGGGATTTTTACTTAACGCTGAGAGCTTAAAATGGCTTTACCAAAATTACGTTTTCCCAAAAGTCATGCCTTTTCCATATCTTCTGACTTACAAATTTAGTCAAGACCATCTGGAGTTATTTCTGAAGATGCTTAGGCAGGTATTAGTAACCAGTTCCAGCCCTACCTGTGTGGCATTCCAGAAAGCTTACCATAACTTGGAGACTCGATACAGATTGCAAGATGAAGTTTATCAAAGTGAAGTAAGTATCTTTGACATTTCAGTTGCTCGAAGGAAAGACTTGGCTCTTTGGACAGTTCAACGTCAGTATGGTGTCAGGACTACAAAGACCCTCTTTCACAAAGAGGATATTTGCCAAGACTGGTCTGATTGTTCACTCACTGACGCTTTGCTAGACCTGTCAGATCATAGGCGAAATCTCATCTGTTACGCTGGTCGTATTGCAGATAAGTTATCAGCTCTCTTAACTTGTGAGGACTGCATCGCTGCACTGTATGCGTCAGATTTCAAAGCCTCTAAAAGTGGGTCACTGTTATGTGTTAAAAAGAAGAATGGTTTGCATTTTCCTTCAGAAAGTCTGTATCGGGTCGTCAATGTTTGTGAGCAAGTTGTACGAACTCATTCAAGAATGGCAATTTTCGAACCTGTTCCTAAGCAGAGGGAACTGTATCTTCAACAGAAAATACTATGTGAGCTTTCTGGGGGTATTTTTGTAGATTTAGATGAGCATCTCTTTGATGGAGAAGTGTGTGCCATCAATCACTTTGTCAAGTTGCTAAAAGATATAATAAAATGTTTCTTAAATATCACTAAAGATGTAGCTCACTACCCTTTAAAACATCATTCAGAAAGAATCGAGATGAAAACTTTATCAAGGAAACACTGATCATCCTTACAGGATCACAAATGTTCAAGTTTTGCTAATGTCAATAAATCCAGGCATTTGCTGAGTAACAACGGAGAGCCATTCAAATGAGAAATCTAAATATATTAACTCTTTTATTACAAATACTTAGCCAACATTTCTTTTTTTACTTTAATTTGCTATATTTTATAAATTGACCATTCTACACGGTGGACAAATTTGTAATTCTGACTTTATAATTTCTGATTATGGATATCATAAAATCTCATACTGTGGTATACAGTATTTATGAATTTTCAAAAATATAAAAAACAGTAAGTCACTGGGAATAGACTAGCCAAGAGGTGTTATCTTTGAATTTACTACTGTAAGACCAAGTAATGTGACTGGCCATACTTTTAATTTGTTCAGTTTACTTTAAAAACAAGAACAACAACAAGGAGCTGCCAAAACATTTACTCCTTTTATGAATGGACTACATTTCCTAAAAGAGCTTTGGTTTACAATTCTTAAGAATGCTGACAAGACACCTGTAAAACTTTGAATATAATTTTTACTTCAATATGAAAATGAAGTTGTCATTTGAAAATTAGGCTAAAGCAAATCATATCCTTCAAAAATCCCCTTGTCCCAGGCTACCCTAAAGCAGAAGTACTTATAGTTTTATCAGGCAGAAGCTAAAGTACATGAACCATGAGATTATTCCCTGTGCTGCAACCGAGAGGGGCAGTCCAATCTAGGAAGAACATAGGTGATACAATTTTCACTATTTGTTGCCCCTGGACTTCAAAATACTACTTTAGAATAATAGGATGGATACTTACTCGGTTACTGTTGGAAGAGCCCAGTGCTCATCAGAAAATAGGGAGAAGCCTTTATTTCAACTTCTCTTTCCAAAGTCTTATTCGTGTTTGCAAGGAGGCTAAAATAATGAAACACATATTGAGTGAATGTTGAGTGAATAATGGAAGATCACAGCACACAATTAATAAATTGGAAAAAGATGTTTAATTGAGACAATGGATATGAAAAACTTGTCTATTATGTAATGGATTTTTTTCAGAAGTTTAGAAGAAACTTAGAGGTGGAAGCTTACTTACTAAGGACAATTTTCTCCACTCATACCCACATTTGAAAAGATAAATAGAAAAACATACAGGTACATATACTTTCACAGATGCGTGTGTTGTAATGGATGGAAGAACAAACAATACATTATCCACCTGTTTTTGTAAAACATCTCTTTTTTGTCATTGAATAAATTTCATAAAGGATAATTAATATGTAAACTTATAATTGCTAAGAAATTAATGAAGCAGCAAAACTATATTATTGAAATTCTTCTTAAAAATATATTTTGATATATTTGTTTATTCTACCTCAGACAAAGGCTTACGTTTTGAAACATAACCGGTGTTGTGCTACATTTTTTAAAAAACCTATTGCTGAGAAGTCTGCATATTGGGTTTTTGTTATGTTTGCAAAGAGTTGAGTTTAAATACACGAGAATAAATCTTATTTAAAGGAAGCCTGTTTGTAAATCACCACTTTTAACTTATTGCTTATATAAACTCAAGATTTGAACCTGATCTTTATGTAAAGTAAGGTTCATATCTGTAGTATCAACCCTTTCTTTCATGTGAATTATGTACTAAAATCAGCTGTATTTTAAAAAATTGGTGTTTACATTATTCCTTTAAGTGCTAGATAAATTGGGCAAACACTGAAGATAAGAGTATCTCCTGCATTGCCTTTAGCCCAATTAATTGCTCCTGCACTTATGAAAGGCTTTAAAGATTTATTTGAAAGCCTTACATTGGGCTCAGCGCCTGTGGCTCAAGTGGCCAAGGCACCAGCCACATACACCCAAGGTGGCGGGTTTGAATCCAGCAACAATGATGGCAGCAACCAAAAATAGCCGGGTCTTGTGGCAGGCGCCTGTGGTCCCAGCTACTTGGGAGGCTGAGGCAAGAGACTCGCTTGAGCCCAGGCGTTGGA